TCGTCTGGAAGGTCGCCGTGGAGGAACGCGTTTGTGACATCCAATTGAAGAATGTTCCATTTCCGGTGAACAGCTACGGTTAGAAGCATGCGTATTGTCGTCATCTTAGCGACCGGACTTAAAGTTTATGTGTAGTTTTCTCCAAAGCGTTGATCGTAGCCGAGAGCCACTAAACGAGCTTTGTATCGGTCAATTTGCCCAGATGGTAGACGTTTGATCTTGTACGTCCATTTACACCCAAGGGTGCGTTTGTTCGGGGGAAGAGGGACCAAGAAGGTCCATGTGTTTTGTTGAGTGAGAGCATTGAACTCGGATCGCATGACCTCCTTCCAGTGGTCATGTTTGGAGGCCTGTTTGTATGTTGTCGGTGTAGCTTGTTCGGTGGACTGACTGAGCATTGTAAATATCTGCTTTGGTTTGTAGATCCCCGATTTGGACCTGATTTGCATTTGATGAGTGCTCGGTGTGACTGCTGCGGGATTGTCATGGAGAGGAGGTGTTGGTGGGAGGGGATCAAAGATTTCAGGATGAGTGGTCATGTTAGTGGGGAGAGAGTTTCGTGTGAGATTGTCTGTAGTCGTGTTCTGAGAGGTGGGTAAAGTGGACGTTGGTACTAAGATTAAAGGATTGGAAAAAGATGAGGTATTATGGGTCGGAGTGGTGGAAGTTGACATATTGTTGGAATAGGGAAAGTTTGTTCTTGAAACACCACATGTCGGGAGACATGTAGTTTATGAGTTTGAAGGTTATAGCATTTATAACCTTTATGACGAGACGAGTATCCGATGAAAACACATGGATGTGATCGAGGTGAAAATTTATTTGCGGTGTACGGTTGGAGCCATGGGTAGCACAAGCATCCGAAAGTGCGAAGATGAGTGAGAGACGGATGCTTATTGTAGAGAGTTTGATAAGGTGAATTTAGGTGAAGAGCTTTGGACGGAAGACGATTTATTAGGTAATTCGTAGTGTCGACAGTGTCCGCCCAGAATTTGTTTGGGAGATTTGAGGCGTGGAGAAGAGTTCTTGTGAGATCCAGAAGGTGTCGGTGTTTACGCTCGGCGAGGCCGTTTTGCTCCGGAGTATGCGGGCAAGATAGTTGGTGAAGAATTCCGTGAGCGTGGAGGTGGTTAGTGAACTCGATACTCAAGTATTCGCCTCCGCCGTCGGAGCGGAGGATCTGTGGTTTGGTGTTGAATTGAGTTTGAATCATGCTGCAAAATATTTTAAATTTATTGAAAGTTTCGTTTTTCGTAGTCATGAAATAAATCTAGGAAAATCTTGTAAAATCATCTATAAAAACTACAAATTAACGAAAACCAAATAGCGAGACAGTAGGGGACGGTCCCCATACATCCGTATGAACGAGTTCAAAGGGATGTGTGGTGACCGAAATACTTCTACTAAATGGTAGTTTATGACTCTTTGCTATTTTACAAGAATTGCAATGAAAAGAAAAAGAAATGTTCTTGACATCTTGAGAGGTGCTAGCTAAGTGTTGAAGCGTCTGATTGTTCGGATGGCCAAGGCGAGCATGCCAAGTGAGCGAGAAGTCCGTGATAGTTTGTAAAGCTTTTGAGCTGTCTATCGGCGAAATGTCGAGTTGATATAGCTCATTATGGAGACGACCACAGAGAAGAGGGCGATTTTCCTTGATATCCTTAATAGTGAAGCCATTAACATCGAAAGTAATATTTATAGCATTGTCTTTTGTAAGTTTAGAAACGGATAGTAAATTGTGCGTAAGATTTGGTACATGTAGAAGGCGGAAAAGATGGAGCTTACGAGGGGTTTCGGGTAGTGGTAGCAAACCTTGACCGTAGTTATGGATAGATAGAGACGAACCGTTTAACACCGTGACCGAGTCAGAGCCATTGTAGGGTGCGGATTGGTGTATGCTGGCACTGTCGTTGGTGATATGATTTGTCGCACCAGAGTCGAGGATCCAGCTCTGTTGTGGCATAGGTTGAGTGAGAAGAGCTCTCGGTACGTTCTGAATAGTTGGTGCGTATTTGTAGTTGTTCCTGTGCCAGCAATTTAATGCTATGTGACCGATCTTGCCACAAATTTGGCAAGTTGGCCGGTTGTTTGGGACGGAATTTGTGGTATCTTTCATCTCAGATTGGCGAGGCGCGGGAGATTTGTTCTTGAAGAATCGTTTGGATGTGCGATTCTTTTGTTGGTTGACAGAGGTAGCATAGAGAGCTGAAGTGGAGTTGTTCAGAGATTGTTCCTTCTTGATTTCTTGGTTGATGTGAATCTCTTTACTGCATAATTGAGAACAGAGTTTGTCGAGATCCGCAGGTAAAGAAGAGGTTCGGATAGCAGTTTTGAACGCATTATAGGACGCCGGTAGACCTTTCAGGATGTAAAGAACTATATCTTCATGATCAATTTTGGTTCCCGCTGCTGCGATGTTGTCCACAATGGTCTTGACGGTAGAAAGGTAATGTTGCATAGTTTGATTGTTCATCTGGACTTGATGTAATTCGTTCTTGAGTTGTATAACTCGAGAGCGACATGTCGACTGAAGTTGTCGTTCAAGTGTTTCCCAAACTTCTTGAGCGGAAGACGAGTTGATGACATAGGGAAGAAGAGCCGGAGAAATAGTGGAGAATAGCGCCGATATCAAGTTGCTGCCGATAAGACGCCAGCGGGCATAATCTTGGGAAGTTTGGTCGGACGGAGGTGCAGCCTTACCGGTGAGGAAGTCAGTGAACCCATTGGCCGTGAGGTTTTGAGAAATCTGGATCTTCCAGATGGCGTAATTGTCCGCGGTTAGGGGATGAGGGATGAGGTTCTTGAAATTTGATATGATGAATTTGAGGGAGGCCGGGAGAACGAGATCAGTGTTGATACCGTTGAAGGTGGAGGTGGAGGCAGGAGGGACGGAGGAGGCAGTTTCTTGTTCTGCCATATCTGGCTCTGATACCATGCGAGAGTTGGGAGAGAAGAGAAGAAACAGAGAGAAACGAGATAACAGAGAAAAAGTAAAATGTAATCTTATTATTCAAATGTCTATTACAGGATGTATATATAAAGACAATAGAGGGTACAAGAGTAAATAGATGGTAGAGTAGTTTAATCTAAATGATGTCTGCTCACAAAAGCTTCAATATCCATAATTAAAATTTAATTGTGTATTGATTTGATGAATTTTATTAATATAATAAGCAATTAATTGTAAAAAAAAAGATTTCAATCTTAGCACTTTAATAAAATTCATAAAATTTATCAATAATTAATGAGGTGAGGACAATCTTATCCTCTAATTCATTCATTTTACTCTTTATTGTTATTATTTTTTAATAATTGCTCTCTTTTTTTAATGATCGCTCCGTTTTGTCTTACTCAACCACAGTTCGAACTTATCCGACAACAAAACAGCGAACAGCATTTATATCCAATAGATTATACCATGTCGCTATTGCATCGGGATCTACTGCCACGTATTAATCACGTGGAAAAAACCAATGTTTTTTTGTTTGACAAACGCTGTTAATCAAATTGTCTCACGGCTCCTAATTCCCATCCACATTGTACTCAATAATAATATTTTTATATTGATTTAAATATAATTATGCCAAAAAAAAAAAAGGCATATGGAAACCGTCACTTTAGGTTCCATTTATAACAGCTTTTTTATTATTTTTTAATATAAAAAATTTTTATTTAAAATATTTTTTATTAACAACTATTTGAAGAGATACTAAGAAAATCGTCCCAAATTAACTATTTTAGAAAACAGTAAGAAAATCGTCCCAAATGAAATGACATGAAATTTTGTAATACTTTATAAAGTTGCATTTTAGTGTAAAAATATCTTAAAAGCATAGAAAAACCGTTCCAAAAGAAAGCCTTATACTTTGTTTGAGATGGTTTTCTTATTACTTAAAACAACTTATTAGTACAAAATTTTTAATTTTGTACAAAAAAATTATTCTAAGAAATAGTAGTTGCATTTTAGTGTAAAAATATCTTAAAAGCATAGAAAAACCGTTCCAAAAGAAAGCCTTATACTTTGTTTGAGATGGTTTTCTTACTACTTAAAACAACTTATTAGTACAAAGATTTTAATTTTGTACAAAAAAAACTATTTTAAGAAATAGTATGAAAGTCATCCCAAACGAAACATTATTCTCTCGGCTATACAAAATTGATCTAAAATAGTCCTTCATGCTGCAATTGATATATAAAATTGATCAAAAATAGTCCATCATTTTACAAAATTGATCTCAATTTAGTTCTAAATAAATCTTTTTGATTCAATTTAATATTGTGTAGAGATTAATATTTTGTTTCAGATAATTTTTTTACTACTTTTTAAAACAGTTTTATCGTAAAAAAAAAATTAAGTTAAAAAAATTTCTACACTAGAAATTTGCTTTATAAAGAAGTAAAAAAACTATCCCAAAGGAAGTTTAAATAGGAGCACCGTTATACTTTAGGATTAAAATGAACATATAAGATAGTTGAGGGACTATTTTGAAAATTAATAATATAATTATATAAACAATTTAATAAAATTAAAAAATATAGCTCAATGAATTTCAAGATTAATATATTCATAAATATAATAATTTTTTATTTAACAAATAATTTATTAAAGAATCAATCAAACATTTTTTTTATTACAATGCAAAAATAATAAATTTTTTTTTTTAAATAATAAGCTTATATATATATATATTAGTTAGACTTTATTAAAACTCTTATTATAATCCGAATCTAATAAGAAAATTAATAAATAAATTTGAAAAAGAAAATAAAACTCCTATTATCTTCCAACAACACTGATTCGATTAAAAAATAACTTAAAAATGAGAATTTTTTAAAATTTTGAAAGGAGAGTGCTTACTCAATTAGAAAGGTCATTAGTTCTCTTTTGAATTTTACAGGATCAGCAGATCAAGATATTTGTCGTCTTTCAACGGAAGAAATAAAAAAGAAGTTTTTTTTTTTGAAGAAAAAAGAAGCTTTTTTTCGTTTCTAAAACGAAGAACATCGGAAGCCCCGCCGCGGCGGGGACCTCTCCTTGGCTTCTACTTTGCTCTCTGGCTCCCTTCTTCTTCTTGTCGAAGTTCAGCGTTCGATTAGGCGATTAGGGTTGAGGAGTTTTGGTTCTCTTTGCCATTTTTGGGGAGAATCATAACTTTTCGTTTCATAAAGAGATTTTGTAGTTGGGTGAGGAGATGACGATTGAGTCGCTACCGGGGAGCTCTGGGATGTTGAATCCGTCGCCGAAGAGGAGTATGAGCTATTTCGGCAATCGATATGTGCTCGGCCTCACAGCTACTTCCGGCATCGGTGGTCTTCTCTTCGGTTATGATACGGGTGTAGATTCTTGTTTTCTATCTCATGGTTCTTGTACTCGTTCGATTTTAGACTACCCCTTGAAGCATTTTTTGCTGTCATTCTCTTTTAAAATTGGAAATAATGTTTGATCCTAGTTAATTCTTTGCACTGGTGATGATGTGGAAACTTTGAAAATTGGAAGATATGTTTTCATGGGGCGATTTTAGGGGGTTTGTCAAAGATTAAATTTTGATGTTTTTTTTTTTTTCTTTTCAGAGTTTTATGAGGATTTGGCTTTGATGGCTGATTTCAAGATCTTGCTTATTATAAAGCCATTTGATTCAGTGATGCTTTCTTTATCCTAATTAATTTTGTCCTATGATGATGGAGCTGATTTTACTACTCAATATAACTAAATTATTAGAAAATATAACTAAATTATTTAATATCTAATAATGTAATTAAAATGAGGATAACTCCTGATCCATAAAATTTGTGGCATTTATAATATAATTTACCCCATCTCAGTAGGATATAATTTTTAGATTTTGTTTTTCTGGTATTTCATAATGTGCAATCTGACAGTTATGTTTGCTGTTTTTGATAATCAGGAGTTATATCTGGGGCCCTTCTCTATATTAGGGATGAATTTAGTGAGGTTAATGACAGCAGTTTCTTACAGGTGTAGTTTATATTCTATTTATGGAAAATTCCTAACATTCCATATATTTTTAAGGATAATATTCTGATTGAATTATTGGATGATCATGTGTAAATTGTAGGAAACAATTGTAAGTATGGCATTATTTGGTGCTATGATTGGCGCTGCAGCTGGTGGGTGGATAAATGATGTATATGGGAGAAAGAGAGCCACCCTTCTCGCAGATGTTGTATTTATAATTGGTTCTCTGGTTATGGGTATGGCCCCATATCCTTCTATTCTTATAGCTGGGAGGCTCCTAATTGGTCTTGGTGTTGGAGTTGCTTCTGTAACTTCTCCGGTTTATATAGCGGAAGCATCTCCTTCGGAGATTCGAGGAGGATTAGTAAGCACAAATGTGCTTATGATTACTGGGGGGCAATTTCTATCATACCTTGTAAACCTTGCTTTCACTGAGGTAAGATTTATCTTCTATTTTTTTTAATCTGATGTCATATGTTTAAGATATTGGATAGTTTACAATTAGTTGGAATATCTTTACCAGCAATGCATGTATAAGTGCTTCCAAACAAACTTTGCTTTTACTTATTTTGAGTGTGAAGGGAATTTTTCATTTTTGTGGGAGTTTTGAAGAAGTTTATGGTGTTTGAGGTTAGTGTTGGCTTCTAACTACTTCTGAATAAATGATGGATTATCAAACTTCATTGATTTTCAAAACCGGTTTTCTAACATATCATGAACAAATTTGGCGAAGAAAGGTCATTTTTATGGTTTAGAATAAGTCTTTGATGTTCAATTTAACTATGTGAGCCGAAAGTGATTTGAATGACTAGATTAAGGATTTTTTACACTTTTCTTTCTTAGTTTATACTTTATAGAAGGCAAAAGTGATTCTAAATGTCTAAAATTTTGATTTAGGAGCTATTTGTTTCACTGACATTTCAATATTATGTCTATTTTATTAAAAGATGTTAACTATTTCATTTGTTGACATATCTAAATAGCAAACTTGTATATGATTATGATGCTCGAATTCAATGAAATCTAGATGTCATTAGAAATTGGCAGACTGCTTGGTACGTTCTGACAATTCAATATTTTACTCTTTACAATCATAAAAATACTACATCTTTTAATATTATACATCGTAAATACATCGGAATTAACAAATAGCTGTGACATCTAAATAAAATAGGTCCAAATAACCCCTTAACTAAAATCTCACCTTGGGGTTTTACTAAATACCTAAGCAGAAAGCACTCTGGCTGTTATTAAAATCAATTAGTGGTGATACCATTGAACATTTAAAAATTGCATCTCATTCTCCTGGGCATTATTAAAAGAAATAATCTAAAAATGATAAGTAGAACTAGAAAACAGAAAATTGTAAAACAATTAAAAATCGAAGTCTGTGTTAGAGGACCAAGTGTTTATTGTCATAGACGGTCTTTAAACTCCTACAAAACACTTTTTCCTCTTCTTATGAGAAAAATCAGAGCCTGTGTTAGAGGACCAAGCCTTTATTATCATCGACTGTCTTTATAAACTTCTACAAGATAGTTTTTTTCCTTTTATGTTAGAAAATTGGAGCTTGCATCTGAGGACTGAGCCTTTATCATCATCAACAATCTTTAAACTCCTATAGGATACTTTTTCCTCCTTTTACGGCAAAAATTGGAGTCTGCATTAGAGGCCTAAGCCTTTAATGCCACCAACTATCTTTAAACTCTTACATGACAATTTTTCATCTTTTACAGGAAAAATTGGAGTCTGCTTCAAATGGTTAAGCTTTTATTGCAACGGATGGTCTTTAAGTTTCTAAAAGACAAATTTTCCTCTTTTTACGAAAGAAAATTGGTGCCTATGTCAGAGGATTGAGCCTTTATTACCTCCGACGGTTTCTAAACTCTTGTTGAACCATTTCCCTCAATTTATGGGATAAAACTTAAACCAGCATAAGAGAACCGTGCCTTTCCCCACCCCCGAATGGGGTATTTGTAGATCTGTGAATGGGAGAATTAAGAATTTTCTTTCTTTTTTAATTTTTTTTTTTTTTTTAGGAATTTTTAAAGTTAAAATTAAGTTTTTCCTATTTTAAAAATTAATAAGATAAAAAAAATCTTAAAAAAAGTGGTCACTGCCTTTATTATTTCTACAACTATGATGGTTAACAAAAGCAAAAAAAAAGGCGGGGCTTTGTATGCGTGCCCACTCAGTGTGTGGCAAAGAGCCGTGCGCAAATCCCCGCCTAAAAAAAAAATCTCAAGCACGCAATCCTAGCCACTATCTGTCAGTCGAACCGCCTAATATTGTTTAGGCCTAATTTTTGGCATGGACCATCTGAATAAGAGATTTTGGGGTCTCTTGGACAATTTTTTGACATTTTGAACTCAATTTTGACATTTTTGAAGCCTAATTGGGACTCAACAATCAATTTCGGGCAAGTTTAAATATTCAAGAGTAGAATTATAAATATTTCTTTTCCTTGATCGACATGCCAACTCTATGAAATGTTGAAATTGTAATTAAAGAGATTTAATTTAGTTTACGAGCTCGAGGGCAAGTCCGTATTGATATTTAGGGAGCAATTGCACTTTGTAATTTTTTTAGAAATTATAATTTTGGTTCGTAATTTTTTGGAAGGCTAGAATGTATATTTTCAGACCCCATGAGCTTAGACAGATGAAAATATGGTGCAACTGATACTTAATTGAAAATCGCCTTAATCGAACACAAATCTTGAGGCATATTTGAGTTTAAAACTTTCAAAATTAAATTTAGAACTATCTGAACTTCAATTTCACCAAACTTAAAGTCAAACTGAATGTCTCGACAAGATGAACCCAACTATACCAAAAGTTGTCTAATATGTGGTCAAATGAGTCCAAATCAAAGCCTGAAGCATAATTGAAAACTTCATGACACTAATTGAATGATCAAATGATATTCAAATTCGGCATGCTTTTAGCCAAATCAAGCGTCCCGATGAGATGAATCAAACGAGCTCAAGGTTTCTTAATAAGGCACTTAATGAAGAAACAATCTATGATTTGGGGAATCATTACAGGCCATCCGATGGAGTGCTCCAAAATTTTTCTATATTTAAGGGCATGTCACTTACAAAAATCTATAAATAGGCCCCCACTTTATACATGAAGAGGACCATTGGCTAGAGATTCAAGTGAGCTTTAAGGCTTGAAGAATCTTAGAGCTCCACTCGGGGATCATCGCCAACAAACTCTCTTCGACCAACCACTACCATCGAACCTTTTTCATCTGATCTCCGTTGTTAGACCTTTCGTTAGCCAACGTCGCGGTCGAACCTCACATCAAACCTTTGAGGTTTGACCACTATCATTGAATCTCTAGCACTTGACTGTCGATGTCGGATCTCTAGTGTTAACCACTACCGTCGGACCTTTTGTCAGTCGACCTTTATCGTTGGATCATCGTCAGCCGACCACTAACAAAGGGCTGCTGCTGCCTGACCGCAGTCGTTAGACCTTTGTTGCTCAATTTCCACTATCAAACCTTCATCGCAAGAACCCCATCTTCAGTCTTTTTGCTAATTGGCCCCGTCGTCAGACCTTCGCTGCCAAAGTGTTGTCATCGGGCCTGTGGTCACTCATCCCCGAACATCAAAACGGTCTCTACTACACTTTATGCAAATTCTCCAAACTCTTGTAATTTTACCATCTTCAAGATAAGAGATGAGCCAATCTTTGTAACTCATACACGCATAGTGGAATTATTCAAATGGGCAAGCCCTTGTGATTTTTTATTTTTCGAGTTTTCCACATAAAAATCTTTGATGTTATCTGAGCTCTTTCATTTATTTTTGTGTGCTGATTTCTCGGTGCAAAGCTAGAACACAAACTCTCTCATACAACTACCACTAATTTTCTAGTCCACAATATTGATCATTATATGCTAAGAATTTTATGGCTTCATTGGTACATTTTTAAACTTATAACTCTTAACAGGTTCCGGGTACATGGCGTTGGATGCTTGGTGTTGCTGCTGTGCCAGCTATTTTCCAGTTTTGTTTGATGCTTGGTTTGCCTGAATCACCTCGGTGGCTTTATTTAAAGGTATTCCCAGTCAAATAAGAGCTTTGTTGTCTGTTGCTTTATGCATGAGCAATTGAACTTTAGGCAATACCTATTTGCAGAAGGACAAGGCTCAAGCTATTTCTGTGCTTTCAAAAATTTATGATCCTGATCGTTTGGAGGAGGAGATAGATTTGCTTGCTCTTGTTTCAGCTGAAGATTTGTGCTCCAAGAAGACTGTCAGCTACTTGGATGTGTTTAGATCGAAGGAAATGAGGCTTGCATTTTTTGCTGGAGCTGGCCTTCAGGTAACTGGTGATTCATATGAGGCTTTTAAATTTCTTTTAGTTATTTGAATCTTGGAATTTCAGTTTAAAAAAATTCAAATCAATGTCTTCATATTCATAATCAGCCTATCAATTATTGGCATTTCATTTTATTTCCTACGATTTCCTTTGTTTCGAACGAAGCCTTGTTGTTCAAAATACCCCTGCAAATTCTGATACCATGTTTCTTCTTGGTCCTCATTTGGTTTCTTGTAGACAAAAGACATGTTTTAAAATTTATAATTTCATTTTCAGTCTTTTTGTGTGTGACAATGAAATCATCATGGATTTTAGAAAATTTTAGCCTTGCTTTCACTCATTGCATGTGTGAAATGGAAATCATCATGGATTTCGAACGTATTTGTTAAGTTCAAAATCAATATTGAGTTCTTTTTACATCCAACCAAATGCATAATCTAGTGAACTCTTTACTTTTCAAAATGTGTTGTCGAACTTCAAGCAACCAGATGGGCCTTAAGTTCTTTTCTCCTATTTCAGCCCTCTAATATTGCACTCATTCTTCTCTATGGTGATTCTCCAGATAAGGTGGGGATTCTTACTAATTGAAGCCCTTTATTCACAATTCCTAATTAATCTAATGGAAACTTTAATTGAAAAACCAAATGAATTACATAATTAATTTGCTATGCCAGCTGTTTTGTTAGGTAGCAAAAAGCCATGCCCGATCTCTCCGGGTTAGGCCATCTTAACCATCCGGAAAGTTATAACATAAAAATATTCTTCTGAAAATTTGTAATTGCAATTTTACCTTTGGGAGAATTTTGATGTTCAAAATGTGGAATTTAAATGATTGAAAATTCTTTTAAATCCCTAGAACATCCCAAGAATTTGAAAAAAAAATTGCAAAAAGATTCCTGTGATCTCTTATCTCTTGAAGAGACCATGATATATTTTGTAATATTCCATTATTTTAGGTATTATGCAATGATAAAAATGGTTAATGAAATCCCTTATACTTGGGATTCTACTTGACGGCCTGATATTTCATCAGCTTTGACTTACACCTGAGGGTGATATGCCATTGGCATAAAATTCCACCTTATGGGGCTGTTCGGCAACAAGTAGGATTTAACTCTAGTGGGATTTAGTGAATCTTGTAAATCCGGATTAATTAAATGTTAAGGGTGTTAAATCCTAAAAACTATTTGGTATGGTGTATGTTAATGACACGTCTTGGTATCTAAAACAACTAAATACTCCAAGAGATTCAGTACAAAACAAATTTTATTGATAAGAAAATCAATTACGAACAAAAGCAAGATACAATGATCCTCTTTAGAGAGGAGGATCATCTCTCCTAAACCTTAGGTGTCGCTATGATCCCTCACACAAGAGAACTATAGCACTCAAGACAAAATATGCATAAGAATAAAAGAAACCCTACTATGGCCTTAAATAAGCTTCATTCCTCCCTCCTAAATCAACCTCCTTCCTAATATATTTCCCTCCTTAATTTGAAAATAATTCAATTAGGAAAGGATTTCGTAATTGATTTTCTTCAAATATAATGTTTTAATTCTCTACTAGGCCCTACCGCATTAGCTGGTGGGGTGGCTGATCACTATGGGAGGTCTTTTGGGTAAGGGGAATGGACGACAAAAGGAGGGGGGTGGCCCGAACCATGGGGATCGGGTCATGTGAGGCGAATGGAAGGAAGGTGGGATTCCAACCACGATACATGGGGGAAATATGGAGGGATCATGACAACCGCTACACTGGAGGAGGAAGAAACTATTGGGGTGGTAGAGATCCTAGGGTGAGAAAGCTAAGGATGCCAATATTTGAAAGGAATGATGCTTATGGGTGGGTGTACCAGGTGGAGATGTATTTCATGGTGAATGAGTTGAATGAGGAAGAGAAGTTTACGGTTGCATGGCTATGTATAGAGGGGAAAGCTCTAGCTTGGTTCCAGTGGACGATATAGGAGATGTTTCCTAATTGAAGTGGGCAGATTTGGGGGCTGATTTGGAGGAGATTAATTAGGAGATGTTTACTAATTGAAGATGGCTTATTTGGAGGCTGAATTGGAGGAGATTAATTAGTAGATGTTTCGTAATTGAAGAGGGCAGATTTAGGGCTAATTTGGGAGGGAATTAGCGGAGGGCTGTTTTGGGATTTTCTATGTTTTGTATGCTTTAAATAAGTTGTTTACCCTAGGGTTCAATTTTTTTCTTGAATTTGGTTGAATTTGAGATCCCTTAGGTTTTTGGGCTCTAGCGGCGTCTAGAGGTTTGGGAGAGATAGATCCTCCTCTCGAATAGAGGATCAATTATATCTTGGCATTTTCCATTTCTATTTTATCAAATAATACAAATTATATATCCAAATTTGTATGCAGGCATTTCAGCAATTCACGGGAATCAACACTGTAATGTACTACAGCCCCACCATTGTCCAAATGGCAGGCTTCTCCTCCAACCAGCTTGCTCTGCTACTCTCTCTGATTGTTGCAGCCATGAATGCTGCTGGCACCATTGCCGGGATCTACCTCATCGATCGCTGCGGTCGACGCCGTTTAGCTCTGACGAGCCTAGTTGGTGTCTTCATCTCCCTTCTCATGATTGCAGGAGCATTCTCTCTTCAATCCTCTGGCATGAGAGCTGACTACTCTGACTGGAACTCACTCCATAGCTGCTGTGGAGCAAACCATGGATGGCTTGCAGTGCTTGGCCTGGCTCTGTACATAGTGTTCTTTGCGCCGGGGATGGGTCCAGTTCCATGGGCGGTGAACTCCGAGATATACCCAGAGGCATATCGTGGAGTTTGCGGAGGAATGTCTGCAACTATCAACTGGGCATCTAATCTGATCGTCGCACAGTTCTTCCTATCACTTGTGTCGATTGTTGGAACAGCTGAGACTTTCTTAGTTATTGCTGGGATAACTGTGATGGCATTTGTGTTTGTGTACAAGTTTGTGCCAGAGACGAAGGGTCTGACATTTGAGCAGGTGGAGAGATTGTGGAAGGAGAAGGCATGGGGCAATATTGGAGGTAGACAACAGGCTCTGCTTGGTAGTGTGGCTTGAAGCTTCTTGCAATGGCACTTTTGACTAATCTGGATAAAAAATTTGATCATGATATCGGCCCCTTTTTTGTTTTTTGAGTGAAAAAAAGGTGGCTGGTTCTTGTAGTTCTTTGGTGTTGGATTAATTATTCTGTGCGGTTGCTGGATGCCGTTCGGAGGCAAATTAGAGTACGTCATATCACCTTCTTGTTGTGTACCGGGTGACACGACATGCTCTAAGTCTTCTCTGAACAGAATAATTTCTCCTTGGTGCTGGGCCAGTGAATAGTGGGATGGTATAGATGTCTGTCAGAAATTTATGCTGTTCTTGATGCTTAATATCTTGTGACTTCGTGCTGGATGTATTGAACAGCTTTCTTATGTAAAGTTTTAGTTGAAAATAATGAAGTCATAATTCTGATTGAGAAAGAATAATTAAATTCTGTGATTATGCAGAAAAAAAAAGTATACTAAATGATATCTAGAAAATTTTTAATTTCATATATTGTTTTAGATGTTTAATTTAATCTCTCAACTCATTAAATTTAATTGATTTGATTATGCTTCCAACTTTAGTATTTCTAAACCCTAAAATTGACAGGGAAATTTTTCATGAGGATATTTAAATTTTTTAGATTTGGTATCTATTTAAATAGTTTTTTGGTTATTTTATTTTTAAAATTATAATAATATTTTTATTTGATTATTATTTATTTATTCTTTTAAAATTTTGTGTTATAAAAAATTATTTTTTATAATCAAATCTAATAATATGTATTAGTTGTAAGAAATCTTTTATCTAAATTTAAAAAAACAAATTATTTATCAGAATTAAAACAGTTAACAAAAAAGTTATTTTTTTTAAAATGGTTTCTCAACAGGACAACGATCTTCTTTGGTTAAAAAATATTAAAAATGACTTTTTTATTAAATTTAAATGAAATATTTTTCTATTAATCTGTTGCTATTTTATATTTCTAAAATTACATGCAAATGCACACGTAAAATGATGTATTTTTAATAATGTAATATAAAACATTTTGAAATATTGAGCATGTTAAAAAAAAAGGTTATAATCATCTCCAAGAATTCTCTCATGCTAAACAAACTTTATCACTTGTAGAGGGTTACTTTCATAGTTTGAAGTTTTTTGAATGTAATAAAACATTTCTTTCAAATAAACATCAACAAAACCAACAAGACATCTTTTGTAAGAGTTAATACTTGCAGTACCATACAGATAATAGCAAAAAGATTACGATGATATGTCAGTAAAATTTATATATTCAAAGTGGTAAATCACTAAAATTCCAATAGAAAATTGTAATGCAAGGAAATGCCGAACAAAACAACATAGAAAATCATCATTCAATTATCTTCAATTATTAGTTCATTACAACATACAACACACCAACATCATTAACATTTTAACCAAACATATAAAAAATGGAGAGATTATTCTGTGTAGTGTCCGAACTCCGGTCAATTCGGACGGACCACATCATTCAATTCATTGTGCATTGGGTGACATGACGCGTTTGGATTGACCTCAGAACATGCATATGAACACCTCACATAATAAATTTTCCAAAAAATTGAAGCAGAGCCATTAGGTACATACAGCTGCAACCATTTTAGCTTTTGACATGCTATAACTGGATCAAAATGCAGGGCATATATCCTCCAAGCTGTGTAAAAAAAGGAAAAAAATACAGCAAATGAACAAGAGTTGACAGCATATAAAATTGATGGATGAATGTTCAGATTCAATAATCAGCGAGTACCTTTTACCCAGACATTCAATGATATCAGTAGTAAGGGTTGATCTTTTCTTGTTCTCAAAAGCAAGTGAAGCTGCTTTTCTAAGTAGCGCAGAGCCTGCTATGCTCCCAAGAACCATTGGATTCAATGAACTGGAACAAGCAAAAAATGCCAAAAATTTATTCACACAATGCTGAGATTATTCTTACAATCATCCTTATCGTCTTCTCAATGCTGATAATGTTCATCTACTCGTCACTCATCTAATAAATTGTAAATCAAAATCCATTGAGTGTTGTTTAAGTATCCAAGTTTATTCTTAAAAATCACTTTGAACAATCATATAATCTTAGATTTACTCATCTTAAGAGTATATTTTCTACCTTCACTATACATAAACAATATAAATCAAAAGCCAAAGATATGACAGGAGAAAATTGAAGCATACCTTTGCATGCTGCTTTCATTATTTTTAGTTGAAAGATGGTGGCGTGCCCAAGACGAGAATACTGCAACACTGGCAACATGTATGAGAGCAAATACACAGCTTTAGCAATATTGATTATTGAATAATCAAAGAAAAATTCATATAATGTATAATAATTAAAAAAAACTTAATACTAAAGATGAAGACACAGCTTCGAACATGAAGAAATGAAGAAATTTGATATCTTATCTTCTAGTTAAATTGCATCTCTATGATTAGAAAAGACAAAAGGCTGAAGAGTATCATCATCAAAAAAGTACAGGCTAACAAAATAATTTAATTGGAGAAAAGTGGCATTAATAAAAGGAAAAAATGAGGATGAAAATATAGCACAGGTAGACGAACTAAAGAACAAAATATTTTAAATAACCCACCTCCCCGAAAGAATATCGCCTTGTCCACCACAACGCCTAGGGGATCCAAAAATGCTCACCTCATTAACTTTTTGGCATACAAAAAATCAAACAGAAAGTTAACCTCAACAAAACGGTGCTCTGAGGAAGGCATTGATATGAATTATACTTGAAAATTATGACCCTATAAATGAAATAAAAGCAGTTAGAATAGAACATCAAGTTAAAACAATTACCAGTTAAGCCATCACTAATAAGGTCTGTTTTTCCTTTTCTTAAGATGGTTACTCCTCCAATGCTGATAAAAGAGGAAATCTTGGTGAGATTGTTCTTCTATTTTACTGCAAAAGTAATTAGGAATGCAGAAAACAAGCGAACACCTTCTAGCAAGGGATGACAGTTGCTCATAAGCATCTTCATCATTTACTTGACATTGTAGGACCTTTTCAACTAAGCGTTTATACTCATTGACATTCGGTGTTAAGATAGCCAACGAATTTCCCTTTACTAGATCAAGCTTGTTCGTTACTAGAAAAAGACCATCCTGTGAAACATGCACAAGTATAAAGTTTCAAAGTTGAATTTAAAATCAAAATATATGAAATTATAAAGAACAATTATAAGTGGAAAATGAATGACTGGGAATAATATTCAATCAGTCATAACAGACATACCCCATCAATAACGGTGGGAATTTTGGCATCACGAGCTTGCCTAATGATATCACCTACGCAATTCTTAGAAGACGAATCAATGGTGAGATTCAATAAAACTAGTTCTAGATTATAGCCCGTTAGGTTTGTAAGCTAATGTGAAAACTCAAATAGGCACAATAACATGGAAGAATAAACTCATCTTCGAGTGTTCTTGATGGAGTAAAAGGGTAGTTCTCTTTCTTAATTTAAGATTTTATATACAATATTATATATAATCTCAAGAACGTTTGTTAAGGCATTCAATTTTGTTAGAAACTTGAAACATGTACGACGATTACTCAAATTTTAATCAAGTCAAAATCTATTTCCTTCAACATGAGAATGACTTGCTCCTATGTCTTTGTGCATTCACATTTGCAAGATCCTATTTAGAACTTCAGAAAATACTTATAAAAATTAAAAAATATGGTTCAAAATAGCTCAAAATTGGCTTGGAATTGATCATTTTGGACTCAACTTGAACTTGGCTCAAGTCAAAATCAAAATGTTCAATTTCAGCTTGAGATTTGCTCCTTGAACTCGACTTGATGCCATATCTACTATTTATGTTCATAAAGGAAGTGATTACCTCAGGCTCATACAACATTATAGTTGATCCCATACTTGTTTCTAAACATAAAAGCATAATTATGCAGCAAGAACCATGTTGAATGTTTTAAATAGTAATCACAGAGCTAAAGGCATGCAAGAGACAACCAGGAAATAATAGCTCGTTAGCTTGTAATTCTTAGGAAAGATAATTAACTACACCTCTTATTCACACCGTGACTCGGCAAAGACTTAGATATCTTGTTAGCATCGGATGAGATGATATAGTTCAGAACATTTCATGAACTAAATTACAGCTTACCTACAAGATTATAAGAAGCAAGCACTCGAAAAACCCATGGATATCAAGAACAATCAGAAAAATAAAAAAAGCAGCCTTGGGATGAACATTTATAACAGAGAGGAGCTAGATTATTTACCCAAAAATAAAAGGAAGCAAGCATGGTACGCAAATGCATAAAGTAGTATATAATTATTGGAAAGAAATTAAACAAATTGATGCTTAGGAAACTTTGAAACACATTAACACACCAGAAGAAATGGATCCCTTCCAAGACCAGGACCGACAACAATGCAGTCAAACCTTTCCATCCACTTCTTAACTTCACCTAGTACCTTGGCAGAAACCGTTGCTTTCTCATCATCTCTAAAAAGATTGACATCATTAGAACTTAGAAGAAGGGCTTAAGCTTAACAAATAAAGCCAAAAAAGGCACCTCACGCTGTATGATTCTTCAAGAATAGGATGAACAATCAACTCAGGACTATAAGATTTTATAACTGCCGCAGCATCTTTAGTGCAGAAAACATGTGACAAATCCGCACCCTGAATGACTAAATCATTTTAGACTTTCCAGTATGATAAATTGAGAGCTAATGCAAGAGAAGAGAAAGAACTAACAATTTTGAGGGCTGATATGGCAGCAAAATAAGGAGCCCCTGTATATTCACGACACCCACCAATAACTGCTACCTTTCCTGAAGGATGGCCACAAAAAAAGGCCTTGTAAAAAGAAGACACCCGGCTGACTATGCAAAAAACCCTAAACTGCAAGATAAAAGAAAACTAGAGAAATAAAATCACACATTACTTCTTCCTTGGCAAGCAAAAGATTTACCAGCTTGGCCCTTATAAAGACTAGGATCCAATTTAGGTGTAATTTTTCGCATGACACCCTCAGCATCAGCTCCTAAAGTAGAAAGGCTTGAACTTATTGCTCGTCCTCCTCCTTCCATGTGAACCCTACAGCAGTAACCACCCAAAGATCTTATCAGAAAAAGCTGCCTCCTATAAACAGAGGAAGATGCCAGCATGCAATTCTCCAAGCAGATGGAAGAATCAATGAAGTTCATGTCATCGCGGCTTGCAAATCAAGTCATCCACCTGCACAGTTTCACAAACCACAGAAGAGAAGATAGTAACTGAATGGATTAAACTCGAATTTTGTTATTGTACAAATTTGCATTAGACGTCGAAGAAATTAAACAAACATTTCACCTAATTTTGAGATACTAAGGGGCTGTTTGGCAACAGGATTTATGCAGGATTTGAGCAAGATTCATACTAAATCCTGCCAAACGGGATTTGAGCTCCCCGTAAATCTCACGGCGGAATAAATCCTCCGTTTCCCGCTTTTTGCCGTAAATCCCATATTTACTAGATCCTATAGTTCGGCGGATTTACCTTTACGGCCAGCGAGCTCCCGTCGTTGCTTCCGATAAAAATGTCGTAACTTCCGATCCGACAGGAAGGGAAAGTGGTCGAAGGAGCGAAGTCGAACAGCAACGAAGGAGCCGAAGAAGCGACTCATGCAATGTCTACACCTCCTGCGAAGCAACCAAGCCGAACAGCGACGACGAAAAGAGAAGATGAAAGGGCAAACACCTAGAGGCCATTGTTGATTAACTTAATTAATATAATTTAATATATTAATAATTAAATAATTAATAGTATAATTAATTAGTGCATAAATTAATTATATAAATTAACTTAATTAAATAATTAGTAATTAATATATTAAACTAATTAACTTAATTAATATAATTTAAAATATAAATTATTAAATATATAATTAATAGTGTGAATAATAATTAATGAGTAGTAGATTTCTTAAGTGATTAATGAACATTAAATTTAATTTTGAAATGAGGCAATCGTCTTAAATTATAGATTCTGTTGACAAACAATTTCATGGATTTAAAATGATTTAACAACTATTTTACCAAAGAGTTTTCATGATTTAGCATGCTTGGAATTTATTAAATATTTACATGATTTACTAAATCATATAAAAGTTAAATACTACTTTTGGCAAACGGGCCCTAGCTTCCAAAGCTTCCTCAGCTCTCGATCCCTTAAGCAAACTTGTGCTAGAAAATTCAAGGAGCAAGAATAGCCATCAAACACCCTTTAGCCCATTTGATTGAGTGACTAGGGTTTCTCAACCCTAATGCATGGAAATTCAATGATTCGAGCTTTTGATATCCCATGTTATATAAACAAGGGCTCGGAACTTGTTGCTTTTTCCGTCATTTGACGTCATCCAGAACATTGATCCAAACGACATGGATCCAACGGCTCAAATGCAATCTGATGTGGTTAAATTAGCCTCACCATTACTCTCGAGTTGATGTTACAAACTTCTTAAAAAATAACCATCATATTAGTTTAATTGAATAATTAGTAATATAATTATCATTAATAATTTACATAATTGATCATATAACATGATTTATATATTAATAATTAATTAGATTAATTAAATAGTATTATTAGTAGTATAATTACATAAACTAATTTAATTTAATTGAATAATTAGTAGTATAATAATTATTAAATTAGGTTAATTAATATTTGTAATTTATTGGTTATAACAGCTATTAGTAGTATAAATGTCATTAAATTAGTTTAATCTTTAACTAATTAATTAAATCATTAGTATAAGTATTAGTAAAATAATTTATATTTTCAAAAAAAAAAAAAAAAACTAATCAATATTAATTTTTCATGTGCTCTTTATTAAATTTTCAATTATATTGTATGAATTTAAGTAGTATTTTTATGTTGTATGTAATTATCTTGAATTTATAATTATCTTATTCACATTTAAATCCCTAACTGTCATAAATCTCAAAATATATTACCAAATAAATTTTCAGGATTTAGCATTATACAAAATCTTTTTCTGGATTTAACAAGCTCAGTATTTATTAAATTTGGATTTACAGGATTTACTAAATCTCATTTGTTGCCAAGCAACCACTAATAGAAGAGAGAGAGAGAGAGAGAGTGAGTGTCGGTACTTGTTTAGCTCAGGTTGGACCCACCCAATGACGAAGTGGCCTCTAACATTTCAAAGCTCGGACTATCTATCTCTTAGGCTTCATTTGAGACATCATTCTTACTACTTTTAAGAGTAATTTTTTAGCACATAAATTTTTTGAGTCATAAATTTTTATACTGGAAGGATGCTTTAGAAAGCAGTAAGAAATTTTAAATTTAGGTTATTATGATAAGCTAACATTCAAATTTATGAGATAGCAATGTCAAATCATTGTAAATCTTGTGCTTGTAATTATTCATACTAATTTCTTCTATATGCTGATTAGAGTTTATAATTTTTCATTTTCAAAACTTCAGAGTAATTTAACCATTTCATTCGACCTCCATGCCTTGAATACTGTCCATTCGACCTTTGTCGTCGCCTATGATTCGTCCGACCACCTTCGCTCCGTTACGATCCCTTCAACCTCTATCGACTACGATACCCTCCGATCTCAATTTCTAGAATATGATCTCTCTGGCAACTATTACTTAACTACGATTGAGAACTATTGCCCAAGTATATCCCTCATAACATCATCTTATGGAAAAAATTATTACGTGCGGGTCCGGATTCATTCAATGATCATTAAAAAATGCATCACGTCGTCCCAAAAATATACCGTGTTCGAGTGCTCCGTATCAAACACAGAACTAAACAAATCTCGTGTCCAATGTCCGCGCAAAATAATTGCTCTTGACCATGATTTTTATTAGAAAATAATATAACAACGAGCGAGTATGTCTGTAATGAATGGAACGGAGAACTCTTTCTCTTTCAAATGCTCTACAGGCGAAGCCGTCATTTATCTCCGGCGCTCTCTTCCGCCCTCAAATCTGTGAGGCCCGCATTTTTCTGTTCGAATCTCAACCCTAATAAAACCCAAACATCCCTCCGGAACAGAATCCCTAAATATAAGAGCTCAGCCGATCCCCTCCTTGCCGGCGGCGATCGCCGGATTGCGCTCTCACCCAATCCTTCGCTGTCTGCACCATCCGACCACACAACTTCCTATATTCTCGCCCGTCTTTCCGAACCCTCTGATCGTCCTCTCGATTTCGATTTCCTGCTCCAAAGCTTCAAGAACAAGCTCACATCCGACCTCGTGCTTCGAGTTCTCAGAAACTACAAGCAGTTAGGGAGATCGCGAACCCTAGAGTTTTTCTCCTGGGCTGGGTTTCAGCTGGATTTTCATTTCGATGATGAGGTGGTGGAGTACATGGCCGACTTCCTCGGCCGCAGGAAGCTCTTCGACGACCTCAAGTGCCTTCTGAAGACGGCGGCATCGCGGAGTGGACGCGTTTCGGCGCGGTCGTTCGCAATCAGCATACGATTCCTAGGGAGGCATGGGAGGATTATGGAGGCACTTGCTCTCTTCGAATGGATGGAATCTGAGTTCTTCTGCAGCCCGGATAATGCTGTATTCAACAACATGCTCTATGTCCTCTGCAGGAAAGATCCGCATGGAAACTTCATTGATGCCGCGCTCTTATTCTTTCGACGAATTGGTAAGCCTGATGAATTCACTTACAGTAATATTCTCATTGGCCTGTCCAGGTTCGGTAGATTCGATATTGCCATACAGGTTTTCCATGAAATGAGTAGATCTCACTTGATTCCTACTAGAACTGCTGCCAACATACTTATCAGGCAATTATGTTGGAAGAAGAAGGAACTCGTAGAGAAGGTTAAAGTCACAAGTGTTCGCAAGCCCTTTGAAATATTGGTTCCTTGTGTTAGAGCCAAGAGTTGCATAGAGTCAGCAGTAGATGTCTTTTGGGCGATTTTGGAGTTGGATTTGGTGCCTAGCGGGCATGCCATTAATGCTCTCATTACAGAATTATCCCACTTACAGAAGTTTGAGGAGGCCTTTGAGATTTTGAAACTGGTCGGTAGTAGGAAGCTGAGATGTTGCCATGAGAGTTATATTATAGTTATACAGGAATTGTGCAAGGTTTGCAGAGCACAGGAAGCTTGTGGTTTGTTTGAGAAGATGTTGTCTGAAGGGTTTAAGCCAAAAGTTTCTTGCTACAATTCATTAATTCAAATGCTTTGCAAGCTAAGGAATGTGGAGGGAGCAAAGAAATACTTTGAAACCATGAAGAAGAAGAAGAGGTGTGAACCAGATTGTGCAACATATACTTTGCTAATTCATGCATACAGTGAAGTTCAAAATTGGGAGGGTGCTTATGAGTTGCTGATGGAAATGATGGAAATGGGATGGAATCCTCATTTTGATTCATATAGGTTGGTGGGTGGGTTTTTAAGAGAAAATGGAAGGCATGATTTGTTGATGAAGATGGAAAGGGAAATGGATGTGCAGTTGTTACATGCTCATTGTAAGGCTGGAAGAGTTGATGATGCCTATGAAAAATTGAAGGGGATGATTGGTAAAGGATTTTATCCGCCAATTTACGCAAAAGATGCATTTGAGCGAGCATTTAGGAAGGCTGGGAAGTGGAAGATAGCCTCTCAAATCCTCTGTCAAATGGATCAAACTCATAAATAAGGTATGGGGTAGAGACTTTTAGGAAGATTTCTCTATTGCTGGTGCGGGAAAACCAAGCAAAATTGATGGGAACAAGCACCCCTAACCCACACTAAGGCTTCATTTGGGGCGGTTTTTTTACTGCTTCTTAAAGCAGCTTTCTTATACAAATATTTTAAAAAAGCTGCTTTAAGAAGCAGTAAAAAAACCCGTCCCAAACGAAGTCTAAACGATGGGAGATTATGAAATAGGCGGGGATTATACTAAATATCTTGACAGTCTTCATGAAATCAAAGGCTTTCTTATTCCTTTTAAAAGTAATTTTTTAGTAAAAAATTTAATGAAAGCAAAAAGCTATTCCAAATGAATCCTTATATATGAATGTTGATTGTTTGGTGAAATATAACATATCTTAGAAAAGCCACTTCTTTCAAATTGTGTTTTCTTTTTTTTTTTTTATTTTTTTTATTTTCTGATGTTTTACAGTAAATAGTAACATATCAAATATTAAGGTTTAGTTCACTCACATTTGGCAATTGTTATTGGCGACTTGCTATCCTTGTGCAAGACCAATAGGATGGATTCAAAATGAAAATTCTTGTAAAGAGCTTTTCATGCAATAAGAGCTCTTCTTGTGCAATAAGAAAACCGGATCGAACATAAGGTTCAAAGTTTAAAGGCTTGATAAAAGTTGAACTACATGAACAACAACAACAACAACAATATCAAGCCTTTATCCCAGTACGTGGGGTCGGCTACATGAATCCTTTTTCTCCATTGTGTCCTATTAAAAGTCAAATTCTCGTTTAAATCTAATAAAGAAAGGTCTTTCCTAATATTTTCTAACCAAGTCTTTTTTGGTCTACCCCTACCTTTTTTAACATAAGTCAAATCTAATACCTCTAATCTCCTAACCGGGTCATTGGAAGGCCGCCGTTTTATGTGACCAATTGAAGACAACACAATTAAAATTAGGTGATTTGACCACATGCAAAAAACATAGAAGATGCAGCAATTAGAATAGTAGATAAATATAATCTCGAAGAATTGGATTGGTCAAGTAGAAGGGATTAGACCAAAGGTAATATTGATGCACATAGAGAACAATAGGATTAACTTGGTGTCGTTGGGTTCGTATTTCCGAGACGCTCAGTTTGACTGTAAGCTCGCTGAAATCGGAGTTCGGGTGCTCCCAGAATTAATTTTTGAAGTTTCCAACTAGCTTTTTGCCTCGAGATTCGTGCCCGATCAAAATAATTTCATGAGAACGTATCAATTTTAATTATTCATATTATTACGGAGGATGAAATGTAAAATTTGGCAATAGCAATTGAAACTTGATTTTTGAAATAAATTAAGGGTTCATGAAATTAGGTTTTGAAATACAATCAATTGAAGGGTATAAAATACCCATTAGGATAAGTGAATTGATTATGTCGTACATTATAAGATGATTTTTTACTGTTTTTTAAAATAATTTTTTAGAAAAAAAAAATAAAAAGTTATTTTTAGCAGTAAGAAAATCATCACAAATGAAGTCTAAGGCTTCGTTTGGGATGACTTTATTAATGCTTCTTAAAATTTTGAATCAGAAAGCTGCTTTAAGAAGCAGTAAAAAAGCCATCCTAAATCAAGCGTAAATCTGATTTCTCTCTGCCCTTAATTCCAATTGCTTGACTGGTTTGAATAAAAAAACCCATCATATATTATGATTAGTTTAAAATTTAAATTTATCTAATTAAAAAAAGTAATTAGTAGGCTTAGCTATTTGAACTAACATTAATCAGTCAATTAATTCAATGTGAAATATTTAATTAATAAAAATTAACTTGATCCAAATTTTCAACTTAAGGCATTTTGTACATCGTATAGTAAAATTTATTGATTAATTTGTATTACTTATTTTAAATTTGAAAAGTTCTAATTCAATCATCACGATGTTTATGTTAGATTAAATTGATTTTTGTTTATAATTATATGTTTTAAAAGTATATAATTATTAATAATAATTTAATGTTGAGAGACTTTTTTTAGCACAATGTCGGATTTAAAAATAGCTCTATTTGACTCATTTTCAAATGTAGTATAAATTGAGGAATTTTAAATATTTAAAATTATATTTTATACTTCTTTTGCTTCATATCAAAGACCCCAAAATTTAAAAATACATAAAAATAAATTATATTTTATACACTGCCGTTGCCAGATCCCAAGTCCTGGATGAGAAAAGTGGAGGGTTGTGTTAGGTAGTCGACAGTCAGCATAAAACTTGTCGAACAATAATGACATGAATCCTTTAAGAAATTGTGTTAATGCTAGGGCGTCTCCTATCGTATTACGGAGGTGCAGGATACCCACGTTTTAGCCTCCACTACCTATTACTTTTTCTGTTTTACTGGTATACTCTTCCCTTTTTCACGGTTAGTCTACTTTTAGCTAAAAGGTTTGTTACAGCTACAGTAAAAGGAGAAATTATATATAGACGCATTATAGAGTAGAAAAGGGTTGTTGCTTCTTTACAGTCCTTGAAGAATTTCAAGAGGAATATACAGAGCTTTGAAGCCTTCTTCCTCCTTCTTCCTGTTTCTTGTTTGCTGGTGTTTTCTTTGCAGGTCCTGGAGTACATCAGGGTGGTATCAGAGCCAGCACAGCAACATGGCGGATAAGGGGAAGGAGCCAGTCTCCGAAGAGGGACGAAGTGTAGATGCACTATGGGCAAACTAGGCTAGCACTGTGCGACAATTAGAGACGTTGTCCGCCGATGTTCAGCGATTATCGATCGAGATGCGCCGCGAGTTTAATCTCCGTCGAGAGAGGAATGCACCCCCTCAACCTCGCCAAAATCAGGCACAGGCGGTGGCCCCTGTTGTCCGGCATGGAGCGGGCCTCGAACGACAAGGGCGTCAGGTACAGCAACAACCATTTGATCCCTCTGATTCGGAAGACGATGTCAGAAGACATCCCGAAGATGATTTGAGTGACTCTGAAGACACAGCAGAGGGAGGTGATTATTTCCAGGGTCATCACAGACGAAGGCGGCGACAGTATCCTCAGAGGAACCAAGCTGAATTCAAGGTCCGGGTAGATATACCTTTCTTCGACGGTCACGTTCATATAGAGGATTATTTGGATTGGGAGAAGGCTGTCGAAATTTTTTTTGACTATATGGAGATTGATCAATCTAAGCAAGTTAAATATGTCGCCTGTCGATTAAGGAGTGGCGCTAGTGCGTGGTGGACGCAGGTGCTGCAAATGCGACAACGTGAATCCAAAGGACCTGTTCGCAGTTGGAACAGGATGAAACAGTTACTCCGTTCTCAATTCCTCCCGACAGACTATGAACAAATCCTCTATATGCAGTATCAACAATGTGTACAAGGCAATAGACCGGTCAGTAAATACACGAAAGAATTTCATCGCCTATGTGCGCGCAATAATTTGAACGAATCCACGAATCAACTGGTGGCTCGTTATATTGGGGGGTTAAAATACGGTATTCAAGACAAACTAGAAATGAATTCTGTTTGGTCTTTATCTCAGGCAATCAATTTTGCCTTGAAGGCTGAGATGCAGATGAGCCGTTCTTTCCGATCGCCCTATACTCGACGTCAGACGGCGGAAACATTACCTGAACATGGGAAACAGGGCACAAGCCAAAGTAAGTCTTCTGCTAACCCGCCACCTAATTGGCAGTCACATAATTCACCTAAACCGACGAGTATTGTTCCAGAGAACAAGTCCACTTTTAAAACCAAAGCAACCTCACCGAGCAATCCTTATGCCAAGCCTTCGACATTGAAGTGTTTCCGATGTTTCCAGCCGGGACACAAGTCAAATGAGTGTCCTCAACGGCAACAACTCCAATTGTTAGAGAATGACCAGACGGAGATGCTCGAGCAGCTTGAAGATGAAAATGCTGGCAATTTCAAAGATGTTGAGGGCGATGAGGGTGACCCGTTGCTGTGTGTAATACAGAAGTTATTAATTGCTCCCCGTTAGAGCATGGCTTCTCATAGAAATGCTATATTCAAAACGAAGTGTACTATAAGCGGCAAGGTTTGCGATCTGTTGATTGACAGTGGCTGCACAGAAAACATCATAGCTCGCTCCGTGGTACAAGCGCTACAGTTAAAAACCACGAAGAACCCACAACCGTACAAAATCAGTTGGGTAAAAAGAGGTGTAGACATCCAAGTGTCTGACATGTGTCAGGTAACCTTCTCCATCGGTCGACAGTACATTTGTGAGGTGCTGTGTGATGTTCTAGACATGGACGTGTGCCATTTAATTTTGGGCCGTTCTTGGCAATTCGACGCCGGAGCTACCTATGATGGGAGGGCTAATGTTTACACCTTAGAATGGAAAGGCAAGCGGCTTCGACTCTTACCAAAGCTTGGCGACGTTAAATCACAGGCTACTAGTTCTGCCACTTCTTCTGTGATGCAACTAGTTTCCGGCCCCAACTTGCTCCTCATGTGGACAAAGGCAGAACCTATGTGGGCCTTAGTAATCACTGATGCCGCCAGTTCCCAATCAAATCCAATTCCTGAAGAGGTCCGACAGTTACTTGAAGAATTCAAACACATCTGTCCTGAAGATCTCCCAGCGACATTGCCGCCGCTACGAACCATTCAACATCAAATTGATCTATTACCGAATGCTGCCCTTCCAAACTTACCTCATTACAGGCTTCATCCAGCAGAGCAAGAAGTTATGCAGACTATTGTTGAGGATCTGTTACATAAGCAGTTGATTCAGAATAGTATCAGCCCCTGCGCCGTTCCTGCTCTTTTGGTACCGAAGAAGAACAAAGAATGGCGTCTATGCATTGACAGTCGTGCTATAAACAAGATCACGATAAAATATCGTTTTCCTGTGCCAAGGATCGAGGAGTTACTTGACAAATTAAGCGGGGCTTCAATTTTTTCGAAATTGGATCTACGAAGCGGATATCATCAGATCCGCATTCGCCCCGGTGACGAATGGAAGACAGCTTTTAAGACACCATTTGGCCTTTTTGAATGGCGAGTCATGCCATTCGGCTTATGTAACGCACCCTCTACGTTCATGAGAATGATACAGGACATCCTGCAACCTGTATGGGGCCGATTTTGCATAGCTTATTTTGATGATATTCTAGTGTTTAGTACAAGCTTGGATCAACATGGTGGCCACCTGAGAGAAATTTTCATTATTCTACAACAGAACACACTTTTTCTTAATCTCCAAAAATGTGAATTTGCTACCTCTCAGGTACAGTTTCTCGGATTTCTGGTCTCCGAGCATGGTCTGTCAATGCATCCGGAGAAGATCTCGGCAATTGTAAATTGGCCAGTACCTGTTTCTTTCTTTGACATTCGGAGCTTTCATGGTTTGGCAAATTTCTACAGAAAATTTATCAAAGGTTTTAGTTCGATAATGAGTCCTATAACAGACTGTTTAAAGTCTAAAACCTTTAGTTGGGGCGATCTTCAGCAACAGAGCTTTGACTCCATCAAACATGCCCTCACCTCTGCTCCCGTTCTGGCCATTCCTTGCTTCGACAAGCTCTTTTTAGTGGAAACAGATGCTTCTTCCACCGGCATTGGTGCAGTATTGTCGCAAGAAGGACGTCCGGTTGCGTACTTCAGCGAGAAATTGTGCCCGTCTCGCCAACGTTGGTCGGCGTATGAACAAGAATTTTATGCAGTCATTCGTGCCTTGAAGAATTGGGAACACTACCTCCTACATCAGGAGTTTGTAATTTGCACGGATAATCAAGCATTGCAATTCATTAACAATCAAAAGCATATCAATAGAATGCATGCTCGATGGGTCTCTTTCCTCCAAAAGTTTTCATTCGTGCTTAAGCACCAAGCCGGTCGACACAACAAAGTTGCCGACGCGCTGAGTAGGAAGGCTATGTTGTTAACACAACTACAAACCGAATTCACAGGATTGCTTTGCCTGCAGGAGCTCTACGCCTCAGATCAAGATTTCTCTGTAATCTGGCACAAGTGCAAGAAACAGGAACCGGTACCTGAATACTCCATCCGTCATGGCTTTCTTTTCCATAATAATTTGTTGTGTGTTCCTGTGTCCTCTTGGCGACAATTTTTAGTGCAGGAAGCCCATTGCGGCGCACTAGTAGCCCATGCTGGCCGTGACAAGTCCCTCGCTCAATTAAAGTGCCATTTCTATTGGCCACGTCTCCGCCGAGATGTCTTCCGTTTTGTGGATCGGTGCGCTGTCTGCCAAAGTTTTAAAGGAGGAGCTACAAATACTGGTCTCTATCTCCCGCTACCAACACCAGATTCCATTTGGGAGGATTTAAGCCTCGACTTCGTTCTGGGTCTTCCTCGTATAAACAAAGGAAACGACTCGATCATGGTGGTCGTCGATCGTTTCTCAAAGATGGCACACTTCCTCTCATGCAAGAAAACCTCAAATGCCCTCCATGTAGCTCACCTTTTTTTTCACCAAATTGTCCGCCTACATGGTGTACCGAGGAGCCTTACTTCTGATAGAGATGTCAAATTCATCAGTCACTTCTGGCGGGAGTTGTGGAAACGATTGGGCACTGATTTGAATCTTAGCTTCGCATATCATCCACAATCAGACGGACAGACTGAAGTTGTCAACCGGACACTTGGAAGCATGCTTCGCTGTTTAGTGCAAGATCACCCGAAGCAGTGGGAAGAAATGTTGAGCACGGCGGAATTTGCTTACAATTCAATGGTGAATCGCTCAACGGGTAAGTCTCCGTTCAGCATAGTTTATACTAAAATTCCTAATTTGGCTTTAAATGTGGTCGTTCTACCCAAATGCAAGTCTGGGGCGGCAGCCAAATTCACTAGCCATTACACTAAGATGCTGGAGGATGTTCACACGCACTTGACCAATGCTAACATGAAGTATAAAGCGGCAGCTGATGTACACAGGCGACAGCAATTATTCAATGTGGGCGATCTAGTCATGGTGCGACTACGCCGGGAGCGTTTTCCTCCCGGTACCTATTCTAAGCTCAGTCGGAGATGCATTGGACCCGTTCCCATTATTGCCAAAATCAACGACAATGCATACACTGTGGAACTACCAGCTGACCAGAATACGTCTCCCACTTTTAATGTTTCCAATATTTCACTCTACCACCCTCCGGATCCTGCAGTGATCGAAGTCAGCTCATCGAAGTTGAGCTCTTCCGATGCCGGGGAGGACTGATGCAGTGCCATTTAGCTTATCGTATTACGGAGGTGCAGGATGCCCACGTTTTAGCCTCCACTACCTATTACTTTTTCTGTTTTACTGGTATACTCTTCCCTTTTTCACGGTTAGTCTACTTTTAGCTAAAAGGTTTGTTACAGCTACAGTAAAAGGAGAAATTATATATAGACGCATTATAGAGTAGAAAAGGGTTGTTGCTTCTTTACAGTCCTTGAAGAATTTCAAGAGGAATATACAGAGCTCTGAAGCCTTCTTCCTCCTTCTTCCTGTTTCTTGTTTGCTGGTGTTTTCTTTGCAGGTCCTGGAGTACATCAATAATTGTTCTCAAACTAAGACTTCATTTGGGACGGTTTTTTATTATTTTTTAATTTTTATATTAAAAACTATTTTAAGAAGCAATAAGAAAGCCGTAGTCTAACGGACTCAGAATGATAACAAACCCATCCGAAGAATCAAAAATAAAACTGAGAAGAGGGCCAAGTCCTTTGGAGAGCTAGAAACTACTATCCAAACTACTTTTG